TTGGATACTCCCGTTGGAAGCTCATGCAACCAACGGTGGAGATCGCCGTTGGCCATATATTCATAAAGTACCAACTTTTCTTTACCTGCAGACAAAGGAACAATTCATCAAATTGATACTCCCATTGACGTTAAGTCTTTGTCAAAGGTATCAATCAAATGCCTCATTAAATGAATTAGGTTTAAATGTCAGACGAATCTAAACTCAAGACTAATAAGTGATTATTCTTCAATTAATTTTACTTAACCAGATTCTAAACATAACAGACACTTTGATGCTACAGTACTACCAGGTAAGTTCCAAGTTTTCATTTTTAATCACTAGAAAATCGCATGCAGCAGTTCAAAATTGAATCTTTCACGAAAACCTACTATCGTTTCGATTTCTGTGATATTTTCTTAGAATTGGCATTCACGTGGACGCATTGAATATGGTATGGGGAGGTCAAACCACTGCTAAATCAGTAATTCTTTAGTAATTATGTGTTAAAATAGTGTTCGGTACCTGCAATGCAATAACCAGAAATAGGCAGCAGGTTGGGGTGTTTCAACCTTGATAAGTCTTCAAAAATGGCTACAGCTTCATCATGGCTAAGGTCTCTAACATTTTCCAGGACCTTGATTGCCACGTGGAGGTCACCTGGTAGTACGGCTCTGTAAACAGGCCCACACCTACCCTCTGCTAGAAGGGACTCTTTCCCAAAGTGTGATGTGGCTGCAATTAAGTCCTTAAATGTAAGGTTCATCAGTGGCTTCTCAAACATCACCACCGGTGCTGAAGAGGGTTCTTTAATATCAGCCACCCATGAGGACCCAGATTCTGTTTCGAAGGATTTTTCGAATCTAAATGGTACTTGAATTGGCTTTGAAATTGCCCATTTGTTTTCTCTAGCCATCTTTCTCTTCTTGTACACGCAATATGTGGGAACCCCAATGGCCAAGACAAGAAATGTTGATGCAAGCGATACGGCTAAAACCACAGTCTTGGTTTTCGATTTGGGTTTACTTTTTTTGATGAAATTTATGTTTTTGTCATATATTTGGTGAGGTGGGGTGGGTGAATGATGGGATCTGGTATGCAACGCCGGGGTGGCGGTATAATTCTGAATTTTGAAATTACCGGCATGAATAAAAGAAGACTTGTCAAATTGTTTTACCGTTTTTGAATTCATTTCACCTGAGAAGTTATTGAACGAGACATTCAAGAACTTGAGATTACCTAATTGTGGGAAATCAGCAGGAAAATTTCCAGTTAGGTGATTATTTGAAACATCAAGATACTTCAAATGCAAAAGACCTGAAATGGGCTTTAAATTTCCTGAAATATTACAGTTAGAAAAGTTAAGAATCTCAAGTTTGGTTAAGTTGATGAACCAATGAGGTAGAACAACCTGGAAATCATTGTGTGAAATATCAAGAAAAGTGAGATAAGGAAAATTAGAGAGAAAAGTAAAATTCTTAAACCTATTGAAAGAAAGATTTATCTTTCGAATTGCTGAAGATTTAACAATTTCAGGTTTTGGGAGCTCGACCGAGCCTCCTAATTGGTTCTTTGACAGGTTAATTTCAACCAGGGTTTGAATAGACCAAAGAGCAGAAGAAACAGCACCAGTCAAATAATTTTTGGAGAGATCTATAGTTTGAAGATTGGACATGTTTCTGAGGAATTTCCATGAGATGGTACCTCTGAGATTTCTTGATGGGAGCTTAATTTCAAGAATTGGAGGATTTGTACAGTTGGGTTGAGAGTTCTTGAACCAGGCGATGTTGAAACCTGAAACGGAGGCGAAAGCCTTGGAGAGCAGGATATTGTCTTTGCTGTTGCATTTTGATTCTGCAATTGCAAAAAGTGATATTACAATCATGAATTTCAAGAGGGCTTTCATGGTGTAATGCTCACTGGTTCAAAATTCCATTGCGGGGGCTTTTAGTTTGGTGATGGATGAGAAAGAAATCTTTCCTTCAGTGGATGATATATGAGAACAAAAAGGACAAAGGAAGAGAACAGCGGATCGTGGGTTTGAGGAATGAGGTGGTTGAGCAGACAATAGAATTTAGACCGGACCAAAAATGATGGTCTAAATTTATGAAATATGACAATACCAAATCAACTAGCCCATGCTCTCCATTGTATGCACGAAACACTATTGTTTATTATTTCATATCTATAAAGCAATCAGTGCTTGGTGGAAATTAAAATTAAATTTTTAATAAATTTTAATAGAAATTGATAAAATACATGATTGAAAAGATGTAGATTTCATGAAATATGTTGTTATATTTATTTGTTAGCTTAGATATATATTTTAAAATTTAGATTTTAATCATTACCAAACATAACTTAGTATGTGTTTGAGCCACGTTATTTGGAGAGAGTATATTTTGTAAATGGTGGATTGATTGAGAATGTGTAGTTAAAAAATGAGAAAAAATTTTAGATTTACGTGTAATATTATTTTATTAAAGAATGTCTGATTGAAATGATATCAAATCATTGTTCAGAATTACTAATGATAACGAGGATATGTCGTTCGCAAAAAGAGTTCTGCTACATGTATAATTGCACTTCGTCTCTATCTAAATTAGGTAACCATTTCAATTGGGTAACACATCAATTTGATTTCAATGTAAGGTTATTTTCTACGATTCAATGACACGACATTCAACAAATTGTGATTGTCATGCAGTATCATTAATTGCTAACATAAAATAGAGCAATGCTGGCTGTACAGACTCTGTTTCACAAGGCCTGTATAGGCCATGTAAGGGGGTGGGGTACAGGTCCTGTAAGGGGGGTGGGTGATTTTTTTTTTAAATAATCCCCCACCTCACCCAACTCGATTGTGCCTGGCCTGTACAAGCCCTGTACAACCAGGTTTTCCCATAAAATAAGTACAATTTCATTTCATTGAAAGATGTGCATAATTTATTGACCATTATATCTCGATTTTCGTTAATGAATTATACAGAGTTACCTGATTAAAATTAAAGTATAGTTATTCGATTGAATAAAACTAAAATGAAAATGTATTTACTGTGCATGTAATTTACCCACTGAACCCAGGGAATTTTTGTAGTGGTAAACGTTTGTGTGCTACATTCCTTTGCACTGATGATGAATTAGAAACTGAATTCCATATGAGAGCACATGCAGATCCCGACTTCTGTAGAAAAGTGTTCAATATTATAGTAATTACTGGTTAATTAATGAATTATTCAATAAAGTGTCAAACATAAACTAAATTGAGCAGACTAATTTAGAAATAATTGATTATCAAATCATTATTGATATATCACATGTTGATTATTTGTGTATTTATTATTTTTAGTGACTTGGTCAAGAAAGTTATACGCATTATCTTGATAATTAGGGTTAGCCATCGTCGGCAAAGAAACAACGATATCGTTTTCAAATTCCGCTCTGTCCACAATCAATTTTTCCGTGCTAATAGATTTATTTATTTATATTGTTAGGTATGGTGGGGAGGAATAACATCAATTCTATTTGTACAGGAAACTATTTCACAAAAATGCACCAAAAATCTCACATTGTGCGAGCCCTATGTTATGATAAAAAAATGCCAAAAAATCACTCACATCCAATGCTGTATCCGTTCTATAGTGTTTCTGTTTGAACAATTTCTATACACACAACAATGCTCGAGGAATAATCCATGGAGTCCTCAATTAGTCGACAATAATAACTATAATAAAAGAATAAATACACGAATATATACTTTTGTTTTAGAAATTTATTTGAAATATTAGGACGTTTACTTAAACTTATCGTTCTAATCAACCGTCTCATTCCAAAAGGGAAAGGGTAATTTTTTTTTTTTTTTTTTTTTTTTTTTTTTTTTTTTTTTTTTTTTTTTTTTTTTTTTTTTTTTTTTTTTTTTTTTTTTTTTTTTTTTTTTTTTTTTTTTTTTTTTTTTATCAAGGTGTCCGCTTTCGACGACTATTCCTTGAGTCTGTGATCCGGCCCCTCTTCACACAGACCAATTAAACCGCGAGATGTGCCTCCTACTGACTAGGGTTCGAGCGCCTTTCCAACTGAACTGTCAAAGTGCCTAGTGAGGAAATGGTTCTCTTTATGTTATACGCATTGTTTAATTATTGTATGAGTGACGTGTATACCACATTCTCCTAAATTGAACTCAAATTGGGATTATTTTTAATTTTGGCTTTTCATGCAGCCAAGGTCCAGTGGATTTGGAGGCTAGTAGACGACTTGCTCCACAATCCACATTTTGAATCTGTATCTAGTCATCTCCTCCACAATCCCGAGTGATTATCGGCTCAATCCCTCTTTTATGACAATTAATTAATCATATTCAAATCAATTTGTAAAGTTAGATGGCCAAAAAGCTTCAACTAATCCCACTCAAATTCAAATATAATATTCCAAAAAGGAATGACACCTAGAATTTGGACTATAACAACTTCATCCACTCCAAATTTAATTTTTAGCCCCCGTTTGATTCTCATTCTTTCCTCATTAAAATGAAAAATATGATCGTTATCCATCAAATTAATCCACCAAATTTGAATTTCTATCCCTTGTGTGGGATCTGCAACGATTATATTTTTCATTCTCATTCTTTCAAAAATGAGAAACAAACAGAGACTTAATTGTATTATTTCTAGGTTATTGTAACTCGCTTATATTGAAGAGTAGGGAAATGATATCACTATAATGATCACAAGATATAAAAATAAAAAATAAAATAACATAAATCATATAGCACATCCCAATTTGAAATTTTGTCCCGTTTCGATCGATCTCTATAAGTTATAATGCATTTTCGTGCTTATGAAAAGTGGAATTTACGTTAGCTAATTCCTATTGCTTCTCTTATTCTCTGTCGATGTTGATCTTTGTGACAAAAAAATCTTACGAGCTCCAAGTTAATAGTAAGACGACAAAGAAGTTAGCTAAAAATAACTTTTTCTTTATATTTCTTTAGGGAGGTATAGGGACAAATAATATTATCTAATGCCTCGTAATATTAATAAACTCCACAGGATGCTATGAATGCTCAGAAAAACGACTATTCAATCAGGATAGCCTTATAAATTCATTGTTGGTGAAAAATTTGGACTGGATATTAATTTTTTACCAAGAAAAATAAGATTTATATTGAATTGTGCGATTATGCATGGCGCGCCTATATATCATTGCACATATATAATGCTCCTTGTTCTAGACTCATCGTATCATTGTCACAGTAAAACGTGTCTCTATCTAATGTATTATTTATGTTTCAATGTGGTACGACTTTACCTAAAATTTATATTGTGAGTTTTGATTAACAATGCAAACATGAAAATGTAAAATAAGTGAATTAGATCATAGAAAGGTGATAGGGTCCATGTATTTGATGGTTAAATTAATTATTGTAACAATAAGAAATTTTTGGAAGAGTTCAATTTTAACTTCTTACAATCTGATATTTTTCTTACATTGAAAAGAGTTCATGCTTTGCTTTAGATAGTTTAGCCCCTGTTTGAGAACCGTTAAAACAATTTTTTCCCTCAAACTCATTCTCCACCACAGATAGATAAATTGCACCGTAGGTCACTAC